GGAAAAATGCACACTCTTGGCCCAGTGGGGGCTTTAGGGAGACCCAGTGGGCACTGAGCCCCTCCCTCTGGAGCTGAGTCTCCACTGGGGACCTGGTAGAAGGTCCCCCAGGGCGGAAGGTCAGAGGTGACCCTGCCGGCGTCACTATGGGGATTGTGTCTGGGGCGCTCTGGGCAGGATGAAGACCTCGTGTGAAGACCTCAACGCCGGTGTTCCCCACTGATGAGCTTGGTCGTACTGCCTGGTCCGGCTCAGGTCTCCCCTCAACCAGAGGGGACTTGGGGTCACTCCCCTTTTCCTGCCTGGAAGGCCTGGGAAGCCTGAAGGAGTGTGCACTCCCCAGGCCTAGGGAGAGCCGCTCAGGGGAGATGCCTGCCCCTCCCCTAGGAAGAGAGGGGCTGGCAGGGTGACAGGGATGCAGACAGAACCCCAAATAGAGGCAGAGTGATCCCAGTGCACCCGCCCTTTTCTGTCTCTGCGTCCTCCCTGCCTGCCAGCCGGGTGGCAGGTCCCACCCTGCCTGTGACACAGGTGATCCTGTGTGGACCTGAGGATCCCCCTCCCCCTCATCACAGCCCCAGGAGGCCACCTTTCTAAGGGCAGGACTGCGGCCAGGCCGGCTCCTTCCAGCCCCTCCAGATGGCCCACAGGCAGACCAGCCTCGGGTCCCTGACGGCACAAGACCAGTTCAGGTTTGACCAGATTTCTCCAAGTGGGTTTTACACCAAAACAGCTGAGAACTTTGATCTGAATAACTTGGGTTTCTGTCTGGGGTGGAGGTGAGGGTAGAGGTGTCCTCAGTCATCATCCTCTAGTGGAGTTGACCGAGTGCCACCGCGTGTACCCAGCTCTAGGCTGTGTGCTGAATACAGAGAAAACCGGACGAGTCCCCAGCCTGGAGTCAGGAGCAACCAGACAGATGAGAAGCTGTTGTAAAACAGAATAGAGAGCAAGGGATGTCAAGGACACACAGAAGCTGAGACAAGGATTTTAGAGGGAAAAGTGAGTATCTATTGGACATCTAGGATGCTGGCAACTCTGGAAAACCTCATCTCATTTAAACTCCCCGAAGGATGAACTCTGTTCCACACAGGAGGAATCCGACACCCAGAACCTGACGTCCCACCGCTAGACGTAGCAGAGCCAGGAAGGAAAGCTGGGAGTATTTGACCCCAAAATACATAAAATGCAAGTTATAAATGTTCCCTACATTCACCTATGGACACGCATGAATAAATGCAAGCATCCGTGAGCTCTGTTCACCATCAGAAATCCCGTAGCAATGAATTGCCTGGATTAGCCAGGCTCCTGCTGCGGGGCTGCGTGCGCACGCTGAGCGCCCAGCGCCCACTTCATAGGCGTCCACAGGGCGCCACCTCGTGTTCACAAGCGGAAGTGCAGCAAGGTCCCCACCCTTGCAATCAGGAGCCCCTTTCTCCCAGGGCTTCATGTCTGGGTGGAAATGGCTACAGGCACCATCACCAAGTTTGGCCTGGATTGAGAAAGCCAGGGGCCCCTGCAACTCCTGTCGGGGAAACACCTGCAAGTCAGAGAGGCTGCATCTGTTGTGTTTGCAGTAAATCCCTTCCTGTTCTGAGGAATTCCTTGTGTGCAACACCCTTTCCTGGGCACTGGAGATTGGGAGGGAAGGTGCCTCTGACTTGCTCACAGTTTAGTGGAGACAGCCCCGTGCATGACGCTCACAATCCCGCGTGGCAAGTGCTCTGGCGGACGGGAACACAGGGTGGGTTGGAGAGCCTCCGGGATGAGATTACAGTGGGGCAGACGTTGTAGCGTGTGTAGGGCTTTGCCAGGCTGAGGAGGAAGCACTGATGGAGGGATGGGGCAGGGGAGACAACAGAAGCTGGGGGACTGCATGTTCAATATTAACCAGAGCCCAACGACCAGAGGAAAGCTGGCTGGCAGTGGGCAGGGGCCAGGTCACCAAGGGTCTTCAGCCATGCTAACGAGTAGACCTTATTCTGAGGACGGTGGGGTTGAAACAAGGCTTTGACTCAGCCACACCCGCATCTGAGAAAGGGCCTTCCAGGAACAGGCGTGTCCTCACGGGAGGGGACGAACATGATGGAGGCTGGTTAGGATGTTCTGTAACCAGGGAGACATGCTCGGGACCCGAATAAAGGTCGAGACCATGAGGATGGAGAGAAGGATGAGAGGCATTAAGGAAGCAGAGCCACAGGGACTAGTGACCAGGGAATGAGGAAACTGCAGTTCAGTAACAAGGGACCAACTCACTGAGGTAAGGACCCATGTTTGGTGGCGAGGATGAGACTTGCCCAGGACAGGCTGAGTGTCAGATACAGACAGAACACTCAGGGGAGGCAGTCTAGTGGGTCTGGAGCTTTGGAGGGTATTTCAGCTGGAGGGTGGGGTCGAAGGTTTGGGAAGCATTAGTTTACAGCTCTGAAGAAAGAATCTGAAATCACCCAGGGGAAGGGACAGTCTGGCCTAGGAAACGATGGGGCTGTGCCCCAGGGACACCCCTACGTGGTCCGTGAGCTGGCAGAACTGGACCCTCTGTACAAAGCCAAGAAGGAATACAAGCAGGCAGGTGGGGCACCTGAACACTATCCAGAGGGCAGCAGGCCCAGAGCCTCGGGGACTCTTCCTGAACATGAGCTGCTGGTGGTGGAAGGATCGTACTGGTGGGTTCCTTCTCCCCTTTCTGCTCCACAATCCCCGGTCTCCCACTGTGGTGCTTTTCCCAGGGGTAATGAACCTCTGGGGGCCAGCCAATGGCCCACTCACAGGATTGATACGGAGCTCATCAAGTAGTCAGCCGAGAAATTCTTTAAGCCTGTTTGGATGCTAGATCACTATGTGACTGGGGTGGGGGGCAGATTATTAACTGAATGACTTACAAATCTTCCACTCCTATGTAAGTGTTTACTAAGAAAAATGTATCTCGATGCTTATAGACATTTAAAAAGTAAAAAGACAAATGATGCTGAAGCTTAGCAAAAAAGAAACAGTCTTCCATGGATATATAAACAGATGAAATAATTCTGAGCCCTAACAAGAAGTGGCTTTCCAATAAAAGTGTGAACTTTTTTTCTTTAAAAATTTTTCTTTTTATTGATTTTTAGAGAGAGAGAAAGGGAAACATCTGTTTGTTGTTCTACTTACTTATGCATTCATTGGTTGATTCTTCTATGTGCCTGACTGGGGATCGAACCCACAACCTTGGCATATCAGGACAACGCTATAACCCACTGAGCTACCTAGACAGAGCAAGTGAGCCCTTTTTCTCAAAGATTTATATAATGTCTGTTATTTTCTATACTAATAATTGTAAAACCAACTGAATTCTAAAGAAATTCTCAACACAAATCTCTTACAAGAAATTTAAAAATTAAGCATGTCATTCAACAATAAAGAAATTTAAAAAATAAAAATGATTGTAAAATAAAACATTTATTGATTGATTAATTTTAGAGAGAGAAACATCGATGAAAGAGAACATGCACTGGCCGCCTCCTGCACGCCCCCCACTGGGGATGGGGCCCCACAACCTGGGCATGTGCCCTGACCTGGAATCAAAAGGGCGACCTCTTGGTGCAGGGGGTCGTCGCTCAACCACCGAGCCACACCGGCCGGGCTAAAAAGTTTATTTAAAAACCAACCAAACAAACGAAGAGTTAAGCATTTCAATGCTTTACCTGCTGAGCTCTGATTCTGAGGGCGTCGGACCAAACCAGGGGGCCGAGGCCAGGCCCAGGGACTGTGATGACGCTGGCGACCCCGGCCGACTGCACACCCAGGCGGGAGGGTGAGTCCAGCAGAAGCCGCCTGGCAGGCGGAGCATAAAAAACGACTCTTTCTGCGCCTCGGAGGAGAAACATGGGCTTGGACACGGAATCTGACCCTGGGCCTCCCCAGGGCAGACCAGCAGGGGGCGCTGTAGGCAGCCGGGCTCCCCGATGATCCCCACTTGACAGACGGGAGGCTGAGGCCCAGGAAGGCAGCCAGTCAACATTCAGCTCAGCCAGGAACGCGGGCGCCCTGCCCCCCAGCTCCCAGGGCGCGGCCTCGGGCTGCGTGTAGGCTGAGATGCCACGTGGGCAGGGTGCCACACGCACCAACGCTTCCCAGTGCTCCTGCGCCGTGCGGCTGCTGCCCGGTCAGTGCAGCCTGAGCACCTGTCACACGCTGCGACGTCGAGTGGGTTTTAGCGTCACTTCCGGCGCCAGGAAGGTCAGCATACCGAGAAGTCGGTGGGATGCTACGTCGTTTCCGCCACCGTGAAGGGAAAAACACGGGAAGAGCGCGGGGGTTATACGTCATTTCCGGCGTCCGGAAGGTCTCAGTGACTACGCTCCCGTGCAAATAGTGGAACAAATGGATGTTTCTTTCTCTCTTCTATTCCTATCACAACAATGAATAAGTAAAGTCTCATCTAAAGTTAAAAACACAAAACAAAGTCATTTCTGTGACCACCAAGGTCAACATGGCGATTAGGATTGAACGTCATTTCTGCCCGCAGGAAGGTCAAAAGGACCGAGGGCGCGTGCCAATGACGTCATTTCCTTCGGGACGAAGGTGAACAGGCGGCCGTGGCGACTGGATCAAACGTCATTTACGTCGCAATGAAGGTCCAGCGACTGTCGGTCGCATACAAATGATCGTCATTTCGGTCGCGACAGAGGTGTAAACGGCGGCTAAGCGGGAACCGCGTCACTTCCGCCCCAAGAGCGTCCGACCGTCTGCGGCGGAGCCTTCCCCGAGGCCACTGCCGCAGTGACGGGACTTCGCGTCCCGGGGTTTTTCACGGCGGCTGCGCGATGGCAGCTGCGCGTAGACATCGTTTCCACCCCGAGGAGCCGGCCAAGTGGCTGCGAGGTCGGCAGGGATCAGCCGCCGTCGCTGCCTCCGCCGAGGGTCACACCGCACGTCACACTGCCTGCGCCGACTGCACCGACACGTCACGTCTGTCGCGACCGCGCGTTTGCCGCCAGGCCGCGCGCCCTGCTCGGCGTTCGCAGCAGCGAGGGGACGCCGCGCCGGGGGGTGGTCGCCGGCGCCCAGACTGCGATGCAGAGCAGCTTTAAACGTCATTTCCGACGCTACTTCGACGGCACCCCAGCCGGGACGCACCCCAGCCGGGACACGACGGCACACGGGCTGGGGAGTCCGGACCGGAGCCCCTCACCCCCGTTATGCGCCGAAGGGACCCCGGTGCGCCTGGTTCATCCCCGAGGAAAGGGCCCAGGCAGGTATGTAGTCCCCTCGTCTCCCGTGCAGCCGCGCACCCCTGCCCTCGGGGGCACTGGAGCTTCTGTGCTGAATGGGGGCGGGTGGGACAGACGCCGGTTAATCCCACCTCGTGCTGTACATGCAAACCCGTGGAGGTAGATCCTAAACCTAAGCGTGAATGTGGAAGAGTAAACGTGCGGGGCTGTGTGCGCCCCCGGAACCACCCCCACCCCTTGGCAGCGCCCGCGGCACATGGGGGTGCAGAGTCTCCACCTTCTCCACCTGCTCCGTCCTCTTGGGGTTGATTGCTCCAACCGCCTCGTGTCCCAGGAGGACCCAGAGGGGACTGTCACTGCAGTTCTGAAGCTGGGCCTTCCTGACCCAAAGCACTAATACACTCCGCATCATGTTTAGGACAACGAAGCCGGAGGGACCCAGGGCGAAATGCGCTGGTGGACGATGAATTACCACGTAATGAAAAGAATACCCTTTGAAACATTAAAAAAGATGCCCACGTTGAGAGTTAGAGATCGTTCACTAAGGATAACTCTTTATGGGACACATGGGTTATTGTGGTCTACGGGTCTCACCTAAATCTCACCAAAGGTGAGTTCAATTAAAAGTTCATCTTATGTTCAAACTGTATCAAACCTTTGGATTCGCTAATATTTTCACTAGCTCATCTCCCTCATTTTGAGCCCCTCAGGCTCCCTTACATCTAATTGTCTGCTGGCCTTGGACCTCTTGACGTGTGTGTCGCCCCCCCACCCCCCATCTTTGGGAAGAACAGTATTTTAACCTGCAAAAGCTTTTCTTTCTATGATGAAGCTAAACTCTCCTGACACTATAATAACCTCAAATTTTACAGGATTTTCTCATGGCTTAAAAAGGTGGGGAGGGAAATGTTTAATTTCTTCAAGTGATCTTTCAAAATGCACTTCCTCTGTGTCATGTTTTCACATCTTTATAAAGAGTGGCAGCAGCGGAAGCTGCACAAGTGCAAGCACGTTCGCCCCTCCCAGCCCTCAGCCTAGGGGGTGAGCTTCCAGAGGAGGTCCTTTAGAACTGGGGGCAGACAGGGCCAGTGCACCAACAAAATTGGTATGAAAATAAGGCTAAAGCCCTGGCCGGTGTGGCTCAGCATTAGAGTGACAGCCCTCAGACTAAAGAGTTGGTTTGGAAGGCAGCTATGCTCACCACTATACCACCAACACGTGTAAAGAGTTGGTTTGATCCCTGACCCTGTTTGGGGTCATGTGGGAGGCAACGAATCTGTGTGTCTCTCTGACATTGTGTCTCTCTCCCTCCCTCCCTCCCTCCCACTGTATCTGAAAATCAACAGGAAAATATCCTCCGGGGAGGATTTAAAAAAACAAAAAAGGCTAGAGTGGAGGTAGAGACAGGAGATGCAAATAGAGGGGTACATCCAGGATCATGGGAGGTCCCTAGCAGGGATGTGGGAGGTGAAAGGTCAGCCCCCATGAGTACATTCCTGGGGGGCGGTCAAATGTAGGTCAGAGGCCGCTGACCTCCCTGCTTGCAGCAGTTCTGTGTTTTGAGCCACAAACGCTCTTTGAGTCTGATGGGACCAGGAGTTGAGGTGACGTGCCATTAGAGGGTGGCTGAGCAGCCTGGGTGGGACTCTGGTGAGGACACAGGGGACACAAAGACCGTACCCTGCCTGCCCGGTGCTCGCCAGCCAGCAGCCCTACTGAGCAGGCACAGCAAGGCACAGTGGGTAGGAGCCAGGAACCAGGAGCCAGGCTGTAAGGGTTCAAATCCTGGCCCTGCCACTGACTAGCTGCACGACCTTGGCAGGCTAAGGTCACCCTGTAACTCAGGTCCCTCCTGTGGAGTAGGGGTGGTCGCGGTACCTGTTCCGCAGGCTTGTGTGAAGATTGTAGTTCATACAGTGAGAAGCCCATGGAGGGTCCCAAGTGCAGCGAACACTCAGTGGCTATCAGTGGCTTCCCTGGGCTGGGGCCCGAGGGAACTTTCCGAGTTGATGGAAACAGTCTGTACCTTGGTGGAGCCAGCCTACGGTTACACGGGTGGTGGCACTCGTAAAAAAAACCCACTGAACTGAAATGGAAAAAGAAACCCACGTTAAATTGTATGTTTAAAGTGGGTACATTGTCTATATGTAAATTTTAACTCAGTCGATTTGATTTTTTTGTAAAACACCCAGCCTCATTTTTTTTAGCATCTGGCGGCAGAGGGTAACAGAGATGGGGGAGAGTTTTTAGTTTCCAGAAAATACCATTACGTGATTTATCCTCCCTGGAGGCTTCTTAGTCTTGGAAAAGTATTCTCGTCCTTCCCCCCAAAAGGGCAAATGACTCGAACAGTAAGGATAGAAAAGAAAGGAGAAAATTCATATCCTACTACCCTGCAGGTCCTTTTTTCCAGAACGTTCAATTCTGCTGGGGTCAGGACAGGTCCCTCATCCAGGTCCTCTTGTGGCAGATGTTGAGCACGGGGAAGATAGCTTGTGGACAGATGCTTCTCTCCATCATCGCTCAGATCCCTAGGGAGAGACTCGGGGCCTGAGCCGGGCTGCCTGGGGCTCTTGGAAGGGAGAGCTGGTTATACAGGATACACTCGCTGTTTAGGCCGAGTCATACTCCTCACCTCTCTCCGCCCGGGCCAGACGGAGCTGCACTCCCCGCTCTCCATCACGCCCACATTCAACCCGTCACTAAGCCCTGCCATTCTGACTTCAGTCACCCCCTTTTCCTGGTCTCCTGTCCCATCCTAGTCCCCAGCACTCTGCATCTTCACACTTGTCTCCCTCTTGCTCCCACTTTTATCTTAAAAAAGTAAACTGCATTAGATAACTCTCAGCTTACAACCCTTCAAAGAAATGTTGTTACTTTTAGGAATAATTCCAAAATCATTAAGATGTCCTTGTAAGCTTTGGTACTACTGTCCGATACCTGCTTCTTTTCATTCCTGATGCTGTAACCATCCTAACCGGCTCTCCTCTCCTCAGACATACCCTCTTTCCTGCCTCAGGGCCTTTGCATGTGCTGCTCTTCTTCTTTAAATGTTCTCCACGCTTCACCTGGCTCATGCTTCAGGTCTTAGTTTAGAAGCCACATCCTGCCCCCTTATGCTCACATAGTACTCTGTAATTTTTTTCCTCATATACTTTGTTATGCTTTTTAATTACATATTTATTTGTGTGGTTATTTGCTTCATGTTTGTGGCCCTAATTATACTTCAGAAAAGCAGCAACAGTGTCTGATCTGCTCATCGCTGGGTTCTTGAGGCCTAGAATCGTGACACTTACATGGCCAATGTAGATATTCTTTAAGTGGGTGGATGAATGGATAAAGGGTGTTTCATTTATTTATTTATCTATTTTTGTATATGCCCCTAATGGGAACCGAACCCGGGACTCTCTGGTCCGCCGGCGGACGCTCCAACTGCTGAGCCAAACCGGCCAGGGTGATAAAGGGTGTTTTAAAATACAGGTTTTATTATTATTTAGGTGTTACAATGCCAGCTGATCAGGAGATGACTGCCGATTTAAAAAGACGTTTGTGATACTCAGACCCCAAGAGCAGGGGGCACACGCCACACCACGGGGGCCAGGAGGAGAAGCACCGGGGTGGTCAGGTGGCCGAGGGAATGAGGAGAGTGTGTGCGCAAGAACCTTTATTGTGGTTTCACAGGAAGAAACAGGCGCAGGGTAAGAAGGCTCAGGATTGGCTCGTTGAATCATTGCAGCCCACCTTGGGCATATGGGAGCTGTCCTTCATGGAGTAGTACCTGGTCCTGGGTGCTCAGGGCGGGTGGAGAGTGGCCTGGAGTGTGAGAGCCCACAGAGGAGGGTGGGGGTGGGCTCTGGAGGGTGGGTCTGCATTTGGAAAGTGTTCTCCCAGGTGAGCTGTTCACTGTCTCCCAGGAACCACGCCCCCTGGAAGCTCGGAGGACCTGGAAGACCTGGTCTACCTCAGAAGAGGACACTGAGCTGGATCCGGAGCAGTGGCACATCCAGTCCCAGAGCAGGCAGCACACGGGGCTGCCATGAGCAGCAGTGCCTCTCGGAGTGCCCGGGGTGGACAGGAAGGCCCCGGCCATGGGCAGACTCATTCCTCCACAGCGTGGGGTGTCGTCCGAGTCCTCAGAGGCAGACCACAGAATCCACCTAAGCTGCTTTGAACAGGAAGCATTTATTAAGGGTTAAAGTCACATCACAGAATCACTGGAGGGACTAAAGAACCATCCTGGAATGAGTCCCCAGGGAAGACGCTGAACCCACAACACAGAACCTGCAGCCCAGGGACCTTCGGCTTGTGCACAATCAAGAAGCTTCGGAAGCAGGAAGCTGCCACCCAAGCCATCTCCAAGAAGTCACCCCCTAAAGCAGGAAGCCACCAGCCCCACACAGCTTCTGCCACGATCCCAGCCATATTTCTCTCCCTCTGTAGTTCAGTGTCACACACTGGTAGGAGGTGGTTCCCATCTTCTACTCTAGGGGCAAGGGAGTCCAGAAATGCCAATTTTAGCTCCAGCCTCTGAGTTAGAATGGGTGTGTGCTTATGAGTCCATGCGTCCAGCACACATGGTGGTTATGTGTCCTTAAAGGACCAGACATGTTTACTTTTTTTTTAATGTGAATTTTGCCCAGCCGGTGTGGCTCACTGGTGAGCATCAACCCATGCACCAAGAGGTCACCAGTTCGATTCCTAGTCAGAACACATGCCCAGAGTGTGGGCCTGATCCCCAGTGGGGGGCGTGCAGGAGGTGGCCAATTGATGTTCTCTCTCATTGATGTTTCTATCTCTCTCCATCTCCCTCTCTCTCTAAAAATTAATAAAGAAAAAAATTATTTTTAAAATGTGAATTTTGGACAAAGTCTGTGTCTAAATCTCTGTGGCTATGGCTCTGCTCCCATGATCCAACCTTCCAAGCATCACGGCCAGCCTTCCTGGGAGTCTGAAGGTCGCTCTTCTCTATCTACCCCCTGCAGGCACACGCGTGGCCTTTTCCAGATAGAACCGAACATTTGCCCAGACTCAAACTAGAAATGGGGAGGTAGCTGCTGCTTGTCTGGAACATCACATTTCCCGACTACATGGACCACTTCTGTCTGCTGGGCCAGCTCCCACGGCTCAGCAACTGGTCCTGAACTTCTCTGCCTGGAGATGCACTAGAAAGCCCTTGGAACCTGTAAGGCACCAGTGAGGAATACCTCGTAGTCATCCTTGGGGCGTAGTTCAAGATCCCTGAGTTCAAATCCTGTCTCGGCCGTGATTTGTATGTGTAATTTTGGGGAAATCATGTAATTCCTTGAGATAGCAAATGTCTCATCTATAGAACAGGCTTGGTACCAGTGACTACATAGAGAGAAGCACGTGAGACAAGGTATAGAAAAACACTGAACAGAAAACTATTGGCCAGAGCTAGCGAATAGGTACATCTCATGAGCCAACCCCCAAGAATTTCTTAGAACTGTTGAGGATTCTGAGGCACCCGAGGTATGGGGAGCTCCTTTTTCTATGAGCCTATGCATCCTGCCGGTGCCCTACCCAGGGCCTTAGGGAGCCCAGTGCCCCAAAGACAGGGTGGGGTGGATGGATGATGAAGCTATACCTGGGTTCATTGGGACATGGTGTGATTGTTATGTACAAATGCCTGCTGTAATTGCCAGAGATTGTTGGGAGGGCACCGGTAAGGAGGGCGTCCCAGATGTCACATACTTGATATTACCACGCTAGGTAAGTGTAGTAATTATCCTCATAATGGTGGAAGTCTTCTGGGGCAGCCTTAAGAAGACAACACTCTTTCGTGAAGAAGCAGCAGAAAATCGTGTGCAAGAGAACACGGCTTGAAGACATAAGTGATTTATTTTGTTGGACTAGGAGTAGATTTCTAAACAGCAAACTCCAAACGGGGCCTTGGAGGGCCAGGAGCAGAGCTGAACACTTAGCTTCCTCTCCTCAGTGAGCTCCGTCTCATCTGCTCATTTGTCAGGTCTCCAGCCAGGCCCTGTCCCACTGCCAGGACATGGCTCCCAGAGCAGCTGCCCACACCTTCCACCCCCCACGGACAGCTCGCCCAGACCCCCAGCTCCCCACCTGCGGGTCCGTACTCTGCACATTTAAACGCGGTCTGTACGAGGCCCAGTGTCCGGTTGCAACAGAAAACAAGCAACTCTGCATCCTTAGCTTTATGGTGGGAGGTGGGTTCTGCCTCATCAAGTTTTGAAGAGGATTTTGAGGCTGTAGGTGGTACTTTTGGGCCAGGGTGGTTAAGAAGCAGGTGTGTGTTCTCCAGCTTCTTTCCCCCTTTGCTCTAAGGCCCCAGGAGATGGTGGATTCACAGGTGGAAGGATCCTGGTCCTTTTTTTTTTTTTTTTTTTAAGATATATTTTCTTGATTTTTTTAGAGAGAGAGAGGAAGGGAGAGAAACATTGACGTGAGACAGATATATCGATTGGCTGCCTCCTGCATGCCCCTTACCGGGGATCGAGCCCACAACCCGAGCATGTTCCCTGACAGGGAATCGAACCGGGACCTCTCAGTCTATGGGCCAGTGTTCAATCCACTGAGCCACACCAGCCAGGCGGGATCCTGGGTCCTTAAAAAACCTTGTCACCATATTGTCATGCTGACCCAGAATACCTGCATGGGGCCTTGATGTGGACCAAAAAAAAAAACATTCCTTATGCTGGCCCTCAGACATGGTGAAGTTTCTCTCTCAGAGCAGCCGGTACAGTCATCCCCCTTATTTGAGGTTTCACTTTCCAAGTTTGTTACCCATGGTCACCGGTGGTCCAAAAACATTAAATGGAAAACTGCAGAAATAAACAGTTCATAAGTGTTAAATCACATGTTGCTTTTAGTACCTTGTATCATCTCACATCATCACAGGAAGGGTAAGTAAAGGAAATACGGTATTTTGAGATAAAGACCACATTCACATAACTTTTACTACCGTGTATCGTCATGTTCTATTCCATTTCGTTATTGTTAATCTCTTACTGTGCCTAACTTATAAATTAAACTCGAATGTATATATATTGTAATATGTAGGGTTTGGTACTATCCATGGTTTCAGGCATCCACTGTGGGTCTTGGAATGGATCATGGATCATGGATCATGGATCATGGATCATGGATCATGGATCAGGGAGATGACTATGTTCTAACTTTCACAGTGGCCAAGAAGAATTTAAAATTTCTACTTTACTGCCTCAGCAGAGATCTCAAATTCAGCAGGTCACCCTCTTGATCCCCAGCCCTCAGCTGGAACTCTGGCTGTCACCTTGCCTCCCTCCCTCTGCTTCACTGCTGACACTCAGCCAGGGACCAGATCTGCAGATCCTGCCTGGGAGTCGTCTCCTCAGCTTTCCCACTTCTACTACCTCGGCTGTTTGCTGATTCTGATCTCTTTCCTGTCCTACTACTGGTTAGTCTCCTAACTGGTCCCTGCATCAGTCTGCTGCAGCTCCAGTCTGTCCATCCATCCATCCCACCATCCATCCACCCATCCTTCCATCCATCTACCGTCTATCCATCCACCATTTATACGTCCATCCATCATCCATCCACCATCTGTACATCCATCCATCATCCATTCATCATCCATCCACCCACCACCCATCTATCCATCCATGAACCATCTATACATCCATCCATCCATCCACCATCTATCCATTCATCCAGCTATCCACCATATATCCATCCATCCATCCATCATCCATCCGTCCATTCATCCTCCGTCCATCCGTCCATCCATCCATCCACCATCCATCCATCCATCATCCATTCATCATCCATTTATCCTCCATCCATCCATCCATCTATCCTCCATCCAACATCCATCCATTCATCTATCCATCCATCCATCATCCGTCCATCCATCCATTCACCATTCATTTATCCATCCATCCACCCATCCATCTATTCATCAATCTACTATCTATCCATCCACCCATCCTTCCATCCATCATCCCACTCACCATTCATCCACCCATCCTTCTATCTGTCCACCCATCCTTCCATCTATTCATCCATCTACTGACCCATCCATCCACCTGCCCATCCATTCTACCAACTATCCATCCATCTAACCATTCAATTTATATTAAGTGCATTTCCATATGCTAGACAGTGTAAATACTATAAGAAATGAGACTCGGACAGAGATGATTGAGAGGACCCATATTAATGAAATAGCCCCACTAATTAATATGTAATTACAGGTGCTGTGAATGAAAATGACAGGTTAAGAAAGCATAATAGGGCCATAAGCTGGTCAAGGGGTCAGGGGAGCCTTCCCCGAGGAGTTGACCTTTGGTTGAGATCTCCAGGTTGGGGAGGGTGAACTGGCAGAGGAGGGAGGAGTGTGGGACTAAGACCTTCCAAGCAGAGAGGGCAGTGAGGCACGCAGGAGCTGGACACATTTGGGGACCTAGCAGTCCAAAGTGGCACAGGAAGCAGTCTTAATGTTCCCAGGGCCTCAAAGCGTGCCTGGCTTATAATAGGTGTTTCCATAGTTTGTGAGTGAACTGATGAATGAGTGAGCGAAGGTTGATGGGGACAGATGGACAAGATGTGAAGCCATAGTACATGGTACAGCTTGCAACCCAGAGACAGCTGCAGCCTCCAGGTCTTCCTACCCCAGGTGTACCACCTCTCCCCCTACTCCACCCCGTAACAACACTCGGCACACTGCGTATAAGTGACTGGTCTTGTTTACCAATATAGCCCAGTGCCCAGCCCACTGCCTACGCAGAGGAAGCACTGAAGATAAATAGTTAATGAGCTGGTCGGCAGAGGAGGCAAACACAACATCAGAGTTAGTGGGGCAGGAGAGGGTGGAGTTGGACATGAGTAGAACGTGAGTCAGCTGCCAGCATCAGCTGGCATGAGAGACAGCCAGGCGGAGCCCACATGCCGGTGGCATGTGACAGTCACATGTGGGGACATGCCTGGGGCCAGCAGAGGTGAGCAAGGCTGCAGGTGCAGGAGCCTCGAGGGGAGCCACAGGGCAGGCCCATGTCGCCGGGGATGGCATCCTTCTGTCGCCCTGAAGATTCTGGCCCGCACCTTCAAGGTCACCCCGTGGCCCTCAAAAGGAAACACCCACACGTGACACTTCATGGCTTCTCTGCTTCGTGTGGCTCTGTGTGTGCGTGTGTGTCTGGGCTGATTCCCCTGGGACACATGCACCCCCGGGGGCTCCCTTTTCTATGAGCCTCCGCACCTTGCCAGTGCCCTGCCCAGGGCCTTCGAGAGCCAAGTGCCCCCAAGTAGGATCCAGCACAAGCGTGTTGGCGGAATGAGTGGCCTGCAGAGGAGAGCACTAGGCCCGGGAGTCAGACCAGCTGGCGGGGAGGCCCCTAGACCAATAGAACCCATTCGGGGAAATGCAGCAACACAAGGCCCCAAGGATGATGGTGACGCTGCTGTTGGAGAGCTTCCTGTCCGAGGGCTGCGCTGGTCCTCTCGTCTTGACGTAACATCTCTCAGCATGGTCAGTGTCACTCACCACTTCATTCTGCCCTTTCAGCTCCTACATTCTGCAAAGCTAAACTGCAACTTCATGAGTTTACTCATTAAACACTTGCCAAGTCCCCAGAGTGTACTGGATACGAAGTCACCAGACTCGAGATTCTGTAGGAGAATCCGGAGAGAGAGCCAAATAATAAACGTGTCCAGTCCAGATGATGCGAG